ACTGAATATATACCCTGCCTTCTGGAGATTTCCATTACTTGCATCTGAAGAAGTGAGGTTCTTACCCACGAAAGCTTATGCTCCCAGTACTTCTGTTAGTCTCAAAGGTGCCACAGGACCCTCTGTTGCTTTTTACAGATTCAGACTAACACGGCTACCCCTCTGATAGCTTAGAAAAGGCAGTATTTAAAATTGTAGTGAGTTATTTAATGCCAATTTCAAATACTCTTTGTCTCTCTCCTAAACAGGAGTAGATATGTATAGTTAGTTTAGCTTAATTTGATTTAAACCCATGGTAAATCCCATACAATATCCCTAGAGTCACAGTAAGTTTTGTTTTTGAAAGAACTCAATTTTTCTCCAATGTAATTTTTCAGTCCTCAACAATTACTGAAAACCAACTGTTTAAGTATATTTTCATACTCCAGAACTATACTAAATAATGGAGCTCTATAGTGGATTACCATATTGCATGAATAAGCTAAGAAACAAACAAACAAACAAAAAATCACTGACAAATGTGGTTTATTTTTATTACAAAACTTTGCAGTAAGTGTACAGTATTATATTTTATAAAACGAATTTTTTTTAGTTATAATACAAGACCTCAATACAGGACTCAAATCTTTGCTGAGAAAGTGGGGGGGGGGGGGGGGGAGGAGAGAAATGGATAAGACTGCCTATTTGTGAGAGTGATCAATGACGAAATTAGGAACTAGCGAGGCTCTACTGCAGGGATCGGCAACCTTTGGCACGCGGCTCGCCAGGGTAAGCACCCTGGCGGACCGGGCCAATTTGTTTACCTGCTGCGTCTGCAGGTTTGGCCGACTGCGACTCCCACTGGCCGCGGTTTGCCGCTCCAGGCCAATGGGGGCTGCGGGAAGCAGTGGCCAGCACATCCCTCGGCCCGTGCCACTTCCCACAGCCCCCATTGGCCTGGAGCAGCGAACCGTGGCCAGTGGGAGCCGGGATCGGCCGAACCTGTGGACGCGGCAAGTAAACAAAGCGGCCCGGCCTGCCAGGGTGCTTACCCTGGAGAGCCACGTGCCAAAGGTTGCCTATCCCTGCTCTACTGCATGTGCTGCTACAGCTAGAGATGTTTCACATTTGCTCATACAGGTGGAACTTACACCTCATTACAACCCACACACTTACTTTTGCTGTTCTTGCATAATATGAAGTTGTTCAAGTTTGGTCTTATGTTCAACCTCCAATCTACTAAGCATATCTTTTATGACAGAAATGAAGGAATTGAACTATAAAGGAAATGGGTGAAAAGTTAAGATTTTGCATTGTGATGGTAAATATATAAAAAAATGCATTGTATTCTAACATTATTTATTGCTAGAAATCCAGTTATAGAATTTTAAACAATTGTTCAGCATGTTTATAAAACCTATATTAGGTATGCACAGATAAAGTAATTTTTCTAAAAGCCTGTTAAGATTATCTGTTTTTGCTACTTTGCATGTAGTATACCCCCACTATGAGCAGAGTAATGTGGTGCTGAAACTGTAGACAGCAAGTAGACAGTGACAGGGTCTCTCAGGCAGCTCCAAGTAAAAGATGGGGTGTTACTTAGCCAATTTACTTTCTAAAAATTTCCTCTTAGGAATTCACGTTTCTTTTTTTGTTTGTTTTGTTTACAGCAATATATTTGCATTGCTACACTACTGGCAGCACTTGCAAACAAAGCTGCGAGTGGAAACATTAAGAATGCATTCTAGCTTTTGATTTGTATTGTATTAAAATTAGGTGGTTAATTACATTACCAGGACATTTAGAAGACATTGCAATATTACTCCATGGCCCTTTTGTTTCTGATGCTTTGATTAAACCCCATTACATTTTGTCCTGAATATTTTTGTGGCATATTTGAATGGTATCATATGTTTGCTAATGTAAAATTTTCCATCAGCCTTATAGAGTTAATCTTGTTTAAATTTTTCCATAGTGTTTATAGTTTACATCAATCATCTGCAAATTCAGACAGGTTTGTAGTCAGTCTCTTGATTAAATCATTGTCTATAGTGTAAAAACAACAGATGAGTAGAAGGAGTATGGGTCAGAGAAGTGACATGCTGACTTCAGTTCCTCTATTTTTAGTCCCATGGTTTGAAATATTTACTTACTTTTTCGAGTGCTGACATTCTGGCTAGAAGACCAGAAATGCTCTAAAATGCCAGAAAGTAAACGTAGGTCTTTTAGCTGTTATTCTGAACTACGTACTCTCTCATGCTTTTATTAACTATAAGTCAAGATTGTCAGCTGACAATTTCTTACATTTGAAGGTAGGTAATTCAGTTACTAAGCTACACTGGATTTTATTGGCAAATATTAGTGAAAATATTCTAGGAGAAAATTGTATTTAAGATAGAGTGAGAGGAAAACTGAAGATCTAGTGATAACTAATGGATGCAACAGGCTTAAAGATGAAAACATCACATTTAGAATCTTAAATTAGAATTACTGACTAGATCCACTATACAAAACACTGCTCTTTAAGCCTATCAATTCTGACAGTATCATGGGACGCCTTTATCATTGATTATAGTCACATTGAAATACACTAACATATAAACTATTTTGTCAGAGAACTATCTCCTTCTAGACCAGCTCATTAGGTAAAAGTGTGCAAAAACAATTAAAACTGAGTTCGTACCTGATTGAAATTAAGATTGTTCTCAATACTAAGAGGAATAAGATGGGGTAATACTTTTCCCGCAAGTTGTTCTTTGGTAATTCCCAACTTCTTATGAGTAAATGTACATTTGTAAATACCTGATATAGAACATTAAAATAGCAAGATCGGTAGTTTAGTGGTTAATATTGTGAATGAGCTCCAAGAAAACTACACATACTGTATGTACTGATAATAAAACTGAACACAGGACTCAAAAATCAGAGTATCAGAGAAAAAACTGTTCATAAAGAAACTAATTCATTTGCAACTAAACACAAAACTAGAAAAAACAAAGGTGAAGGTCTGGGCACAAAAAGACAGGGTTTCCTGTCAGGGGAAGCATTTCAGATTTTGCTGGTGGTGGTGGTGAGGGGAGGGAGCGGGGGAGGAAGAGTAAATGGGGACTTTAACCATGATTCCAGGGGCTATTTAGGCACCTGAAAACTCTAGGATTTGTGCGGGGTTTTGGGCAGATAATAACTTAGAAATTAGTAGATAGTAGCACCGTATCTAAAAAAAGAGAATTAAATAAATATTAGACCCACTCAGCTCTAATACTAACATGTTCTCACACCTTGTGTCAGGTTACTTAAGAGACACTGGTTAGGTTTAAAATTTGAATATATATTCTTACTTTGTTACTAACCTTTGACTCAACAATTGAAACAATCATAGAAAAATCTAGATTACTTTCTATCACTTTTTTGCAGTTCACCAAGCTTAGAATTGATCATTTAACTTTGGAAACAACCTACTAGGCCAAGGCCCTGTGAGTTTATACTGCACCTGCCTGGGGCTCTAGGGGTTCTACTTCCATTTAAAGGCTAGTTACTTTCCAGAAGGCTCTTAAACACAACACTACACAACACTACAGTGATTGAGTTGCAGTTCTCACAGGAGAATATTTAAAACCAAACACCAAGAAAATTCCACATTTTAAAGTTGAGAAAAAAATTGAGACTTCTGAGGTATATCAGGGGCACTGCCGGCAGGAAAAGAAAATAAACAGGCACAGGAGCTCTGGGCAACTCTTCCTCTTGAAAGAAAGTTGGAGGGTCAAACCTTCTAGTCCTTAATTCAGTAAAACTTCTATTGCCACCAGTGCCTCCACTCACCGATATTAACGTGTGCTTAATAACTATACACTTCATACTTAAATATCTAAGCAATCTTATCCAGGGCTACACATTTTATACACACTGGCGCAGGGATTACATTTTCTGGCACATTCTGAACACTGCTGAGCACACAGATGGTCCCCAGTGAATAATACAAAATCAACGTCATAACAACAGTCGACTTTTTTGACTCTGTGGATGCAATTTCTGTTCGTTGTTCTGGAATTGGCCTGAATACAGCTGAAACCCTAAGAATTTGAGGCATAAACACATCTGATACTTATATGACACTTTCTGATTCCTTCCTTTTCTTGAACTCAGAACAAAAAATGACAGAACAAAATGGTTTTTCTTTAAAATGTAAAATTTCACAGCAGCCATTGCTCTACAACCCAGCATGGGGCAGAACCTGTCACCCCTTGGGAGTTAAGTGATCTCCTCTCATCTGACTCTCATTCTCCATCCGTCCTGACCTCAGTGCTGCTTTTTATGCTGTCAGCCATGACATCCATCCCAGCCACCTGGGACCATTTGCTGGAGTCTCAGAGAACTGGCCACCTTGGTTTTCCTTCCATCTATCAGAGTCCTCTTTTTTTTGCAGCATGCAGGAGATAGATAGGCTGGTCTGCTGGATAGGGAGCTACCCCTGAAAGACCTGGGTTCTACTTCCCCCATAGACTTCCTGTATGATCTCAGGCCAGTGCCTTAGGGACAAAGTTTCAAAACCTTTTAGGCACCAAAGGTGCAGCTAGGCATCTAGTGGGGTTTACAAAGCACCTAACCTTCTAGGCACTTTTGAGAATCCCACTAGGTGCCTAAATACCTTTGAAAATCTGGCCTTTAGTCTTTGTGTGCCTCAGTGCCCCTTCTGTATAATGCGGATAACAGCACTGCTCTACCTCACCGAAGGGCTGTGTGAGGAGAACTAGGTTAGACAGTGTGAGGCACTCAGATACTATGGTGATGGAACCACATAAGTACCACAGGTAGAGTGGGAACTTCTCTATACCACTGCTATCCCTTCCCTTGGGTTTGGGCCCTTCTTTTCACCTATGCCCCCAAATCTCCCCCCTTTCTGAATGTAACCTTGGCTCAGAGGGCTTGGCTATGTTCTCTCTAAAACAACCTCTTCTCCTTCCTACCCACCCACTTTCCCAGGGACTCCTGTTTTACAGGCTAAACTTCCAGATCCTTAATTTAATCACCAGCCCTTTCTTATCTTTAATCACCCTGCGTCTGTAAACAAAATACTGACTCTCTGCCCCAGCTCTCCTCTGTAGAACTTACTTTACCCCTGAGTTAGTGTGAAATGTAACATAAAAGGTTTACCAGTACAGGGGCCCACCTCTGGGCCCCCAAAGGGGCAGGGCCCCGGGGAGAAGGGGCGGGGCTGGGGGGTCAGCCTCCCCCAGCCAGCCCTTCAGCGCTGCCCGGCCCATGCTGCCTGGGGCTCCGGCGGCAATTTAAAGGGCCCGGGGCTACCGGCCACTGCTGCAGTAGCAGTGGCCGGTAGCCCCGGGCCCTTTTAAATTGCCGGGCTCTGGGGAAGCTGCCGCTTTCGCCCCCACCCTGTTGGTGGCCCTGCTGATAGGGTCCCTATTATCAGGGCCGCTGACAGCAGGGGGCAAAAGAGGCAGCTACGTTAAAGCACTGTCATCGGCTGTGTACGGGCCTGTACCGGTGGCCACTTCTTACCGGTATGCTGTACTGGCCCACTTTCACCTCTGTACTAACTGTAGTTAAGAGCTCCACCTGGGAGCTTGCACACCTACAAAACTCGGGGGGAAGGGCTCCCAGCCCCACTCAAATGGTACCTTGACTTCCTAACATTCAGAACAAAAGAAAGGAGTAACTGGGTGGCTCAAGGTAACTTCTTGTGGCTGTTGAACCCAAGTGACACCCGTATACTGAGAGTTCATGACCTGCCCTTGGCAGTGTCTACTTGTGTTGTGGTCTACTTACTTTCTGGAGGGGTTCCTTCTGGAAGCTTAGGCCTATATTAATCAAGAGGTCTGACTACATAATCCAAGAGGTCTACACAGTTTATTTTTGCACACCATTCCAAAATTAAGGCTTTATTCTCCACGGTGTCTGAGCAGAGCTTGGGCACAGTGCAGATGGGACATCAACTGGGAGAGAATTATGACTCCCTTATTCTCAGCCAGCCGAGATCAGTCATAGCCGAGCCTCATTATATGCCCCTCCAGATATGCCCCTGCTCACCTGCCCCCTCCCCTTGCTGGGGGATACCCATGGCAATGGAGATTCCCCTCTGCAGAGGAGGAATTCTCCTGGAACATTTTCCAGTCAGTTTCAGCTCATTTTGTATAACCTAAGTGTCACACAGTAAACGTGGTGGATCAGAGAACCCAGACTATTAGCATCCAGAAAGAAATTGCTTAAGAGAAATGCAACTGGGCGGTGTAAGGGGATTCTTTGCTGGACAGCAAAGCTATTTGGAAAGTCAGATTTTACAATTTAACTACTGAAGAGGAAACAGGAGGTGACAGTGATTTATAGTGCTCTCAGGCAGATTCAGATAGCCCCTGCAGCTGTGGAGACCAAAGGACCCATAGACGCTCCATAGGTCAACAGCTATTGAGGATACTTGTGACTGAACTGAGCCCATAGACTACAAATACATCTAATAGAGAACAGAGGAGCATTGGGAATACAAAAAGGAAATCTCTGAGAAGTCAGAAACAGCTAATAGGCTTTTACATAAATTGTTAGCTATGGAACACATACAGCACTTCCAATATGCCATATAGAGATTACAACAACAAAACCGTAACAAGAAGGGAAATTAAATATTCATTACCTAAAATTCCCATAAGCACTGCAGGTTCCTTGGATGGAATTTGTTGTAGAAAGGGTAGAATGTCATCAAGTACAAACCACTTATCCAAATATTCCAAAATCTTTCCTAAGCACACTAAGGAGTTCACGCGGACCTATTAAATATGTAATAGAAGTTAAGTAACATCTCTAACCTCTATTTTTGACTAAAAATTAACACTTTAAAAAGACATGAATTTTAAATCTTTATAAAAACAGATTAAATACAAAAATCTTAAATTCTATTTTAACAAAAGTGTTAAGACAAAGACTAAAATAACTGGACAAACTACATTTTTACAAGATTGAAATAGCTAGAACCCAAAGTCCTCTAATACACAGTTATGATTAAACATTATTGTAAAAATGGTATCTTGAACCACAGAAATGCTAGAATGGACCTTGAGAAGTCATCAAGTCCAGCCCCCATACTAAAATAGGACAAAATAAACCTGGACCATCCCTGACAGATGTTTGTCCAACCAGTTCTTAAAAGCCTTCCATAACCTCTCTTGGAAGCTTATTCCACCGCTTAACTACTTTTATAGTTAATATGTTTTCCTAGTACGTATCCTAAATCTCCCTTGCTGCAGATTAAGCCCATCACCTCTTCTCCTCCTTTCAGTGGACATGGAGAACAATTGATCACAATCCTCTTTTATAACAGCCTTTAACATGTCTGAAGACAGTTATTGAGGTTTCCACTTTAGTCTTGAGAAAAGAAGACTGAACATGCCCAGGTTTTTTTTAAACCTTTCCTCATAGGTCAGGTTTTCTAAATCTTTTATCACTTTATTGTTCTTCACTGGACTTTCTCCAATTTGTTCACATCTTTCCTAAAGTGTGGCACCCAGAACTGGATGCTATTCTCCAGCTGAGGCCTCAACAGTGCCGAGCAGAACACAACAGTTACCTCCCATGTCTTACATACAACAGTCCTGTTAATATACCTCAAAATATTAGCTTTCATTCCACAACTGCATCACATTGTTGACTCATGGTCAGTTTGTGCTCCACTATAACCTCCACATCCTTTTCAGCAGTCCTACCACCTCAAGTTATTCCCCATTTTTCAGTTGTGCGTTTGATTTTTCCTTCTTAAGTGAAATACTTTGCACTTGTCTTTATTGAATTTCTTTATTGAATTGTAGATTTCTGACTAATTCTCCAATTTGTCCATGTTGCATTTTGTAAGCACATTTTCTGCTCCATTATCCAAGTCATTAATGAAAATACTGAATAGTACTAGAACCCAGGATTGACTCTCCAGTGGGACTCCACTACATACACCCTCCCAGTTTGACAGGGAATCACTGATAACTACTCTGAATATGATCTTTCAAACAGATGTGCACCCACCTTATAGTAATTTCATCTAGTCACGTTTCCCAAGTTTGCTTATAAGAATGTAATTTGAGACTGTCAAAAACCTTACTAAAAATCAAAATACATCATGTCTACTGCTTCTCTCCTGCACCTCAACCCACCCACTAGGTCAGCTACCCTGTCAAAGAAAGAAAGTAGGTTTTTAGCATGATTTGTTTTTGACAAATCCATTCATCCACCCATTTTATTTTATTCTAGGTGCTTACAAACTGATTGCTTAATAATTTGTTTCAGCATCTTTCCAGGTATCAAGGTTTAGCTGACTGGATTCCCTGTCCTCTTTACTCCCCTTTTTAAAGATAGTTACTCTCTGTTTGCCCTTCTCCAAGTCTTCTAGGACCTCACCCATCCTCCACGAGTCTTCAAAGATAATTACTAATGGGTTCAGAGATTTCTTCAGCTAGTTCCTGAAGTACTCTAAGTTGAATTTTATCAGGCCCTGCTAACTTGAATGCATCTAATTTATCTAAATAGTCTTTAACCTGTTCATTCCCTATTTTGGCTTGCGTTCCTTCCTCCTTGTTGTTAATATTAATTGTGTTGAGTATCCAGTCAGCATTAAGATTGGCTGAGTTGTTTAATGCCTTCTTGATGTCATCAGTTATTAGCTCTCCTTCCCCGCTAAGTAGAGAACTTACACTTTCCTTCATCTTTCTCTTGCTCCTAATGCATTTAAATAAGCTCTTCTTATTGCCTTTTTTGTCCCTTTCTAGGGGAAAACTCATTTTGTGCGGCCTTTCTGATTTTGTTCCTACATCCTTATGCTATTCTTTTGTACTACTCCTTATCAATTCATCCATGTTTCCACTTTTTGTGGAATTCCATTTTGATTTTCAAGTCATCCAAGAGCTTCTGATGGAGCCACATTGCCTCTTACTATTGTTCCTATCTTTCCTTTGCATTGGGATAACTTGCAGTTGTGCCTTTAATAAAGTCTCCTTGAGAAACTGCCAACTCTTCTGAACTTCTGTATCCCTTAGATTTTCTTCCCTTGGGACCTTACCTACCAATTCTCTGAGTTTGTTAAAGTTTACTTTTTTGAAGTTCCATCTTCTTATTCTGTTGCTCTCAACTCCTTCCTTTCCTTAGAATCTTGAAATCGATCATTTCATGATCATTTGCACCAAAATTGCCTTTCACCTTCAGATTCATACCCAATTCCTCCCTGCTGGTCACAATCAAGTCTAATATGGCTGTCTCCCTCATTACTTCTTCCACTTTCTGAAACAAAAACAACTTGTCCCCAATACATTCCAAGAACTTATTGGAAATTCTGTCTTTTGCCTTATTACTTTTCAACAGATGTGTGGGTGAAGTCCCCCATTACTACCAGGTCTTGTGTTTTGAATATTTCCATGTTCCATGCAGTGTATATCCCCCACAACCCATTTGTTTTGCTGAAATGTCAGAAGTTTATTTTAATTTCCAGTACTAAACATAACCTGCTTGGGGAAAAACAGCACATTGAAAACATTCAATTTTGCAAGAGACCGATTCTAATACTAGCTCTTTCATTATCAAAAATTTAGAGTAGGAAAATATAGACTGTACTACTTTTCAGTACAGTTCATCGACTTGTGTTTGATATAGTCCCCCAACAGAAAGTGTATTAGAATTAAACTAATTTTACACTTGATACTATGCACTAGACAAACGAGGATAGAATTTAGTGTTTTGTTGTGACATTGCCTTTGCAGTGATCATGAACAATATACTCTTGCTGTAGTTTACTAAATTAAGCAGATGTCACTTAGAGTGATACAGAACCATAAGTGGTGCAACTCACAATGTAGAAACTGGAGGAACCTGCAGTATCCTGCAGGATTTCTTCCCACACATCACAGCTTATGTCTTGGATTTCCTCAAGGAATAAGGGTACGTCTATACTACCCTCTGGATCAGCAGGTAGCGTTCAATGTATCGGGGATCGATTTATCATGTCTCATCTAGACGCAATAAATCGATCCCCGAATCGACACCCATACTCCACCTCGGCCGGAGGAGTAAGCAGAGTTGACTCGCTGCCATGAGGACGGCCAGGTAAGTCGAACTAAGATACTTCGACTTCAGCTACGCGAATAGCGTAGCTGAAGTTGCGTATCTTAGTTCGAACCCCTCTCCCCCCCACTAGTGTAGCCCAGGCCTAAGACATTTCCCATGGTTGCTAGGATGATTTAAACACTGCTGCTTTGCTTCAAAAACCTTTTCTGAACATAAATAAGGCTCAAGCAAATATTAATAAAGACAGGATTTTTTTTATAATTGGTGTCTAAAAGTTAGGATCCTAAGTCCATATTTAGGTACCTACATTACTTGATGGGTACTTCATTTTGAAAAAATATCTCCATTCTAATCAGAGAATCAAATAAGGCTTAATGCAACTCAGAAAGTACGTGTGAAATCTACTTAACTGAAACGGCATATTACTTTATCAAACAGACTCAACTCTGAATGCAAGAATACCTAATCACTCCAATTATTCACATTTTTGATATGACATATCTAAACTGGGGGGAGAACCCAGAAAACTACTTTGAAAGTTTATAGAATTCATATCAACGAGCACTAGACAATTACTTTTCACATTAGCTAGCATTTTCATATAAACAAAAAGAAGTATACAAAGGGAAAAAATCGAGAACAGTTCTTTTTAAAAAACACAAAAAGAAAGTTTTGCATCACTGAAACACAAGTGATTGCACATTAGTTACTGAACAAACGGCAATACTTTTAGAAAAATCTGAAGTGAATGCACAGTATTATGGTAGGGGTTGCTCTGTTTTCTGTACAAGGCTCTTGCTTTCCTGCAGCATGTTGATAACAATTAAAGCAACAACAGAAAAGCCAAAATTATCTAAGCACTATTTTAATGTTTTGGGAGTAGGGGATGGAGAGATCAAGAACATTAGTTTACTTACAGCAAGAGAGGAAGTTTGCAAACATGCATTTTTAATTCTTGGTATTAATGCATTTTTCATCGATGGGTAGTCTATTAGGTTGGCAAACGTAGGAATTATGTTAAGGCAAAGTTCCTGTAAATAAACAACCATAGGAGTTTTTAAAAACTTCACTTTACAGTAAAATTAGTAATATATATATCAATTAGGTGACCATTAAAACATTCTCAATACAGCCTCTTCAACAAACAATAAACTTGGTCACCTAATTGATCCCTAACTTATTTTTAAAAAGCTAGAACTTCAAATAGTCTGATTTACTAAAAACATATATTTTTATATTATTGATACACCATTCAGTTACTATTACTACATGCTATATTAATGAAAACCACACTGGTACTACTACTATTACTACTACTACTAATAATAAAGCATAATTTGAGGATTCATGCCTGGAAAGCGCTTTGAATGAAAAGAGCTACATTCGTGTCATAACTACAAATTATCTGGATCAAAAAATGTCTTATATTTTCACAAAGCAGCACTTTACAGAGAGCTAGTTTTTAATCACAGAAAATCAAAGAATTAAAATTTATATTTCACTTGATTTGTTACATGAAAATTAAATTCACATCAACAACATATGTGACAGCACCTAAAATGCCACCTGACTACTAAAAAAAGTGTCTCCACAGTAAAGAAGTATCCAATTAGAATAATTACTTAGACTAAATTATGAATAGTAAAACTAACCTAAGATATAGAGACAGGTAAAACCTGGTTAATTTAATTCCAGTTATCCAAAATTCTAGTTAAGCAACAGGTCAGTTACTTTCCCCCATGACTTAAGCTTTGCAGGGCTGAAGCCCCCATTTATCCAAGGATTTTGTGGAGGCTTCTGGATAACTGGTGTTAGGCAGTACATAAAAAGTAAATTCCAAAAAGGCAAAAGACAAAGCAATAAAAGCATTTAATACTTATTTAGGCAACAGGCCTGAGCAGAAAGTGTCACTCTGCTTGACAAAATTTTTCATACACTGGAAAACAGTGAATCAACAACGTTTGGCATGATTAGGTGAACATCCATGTTTTCTTAACTGATCTCTTTCTAGTCAGGTAGGGAGAAAGTCCAACAATATACTCTGGAATTAATGCATAATCCTTCAGGTATGTTGCACAAGTTTTAACTTCCTCTTCTAAGGAGAGAAAAGTTATAGGTATACATAATTTGACAGTATCCCTTCACAGCAAAGAGGAAAGTTTTATACATTATTAAAGAAAAACCATAGTTACTACACCTGAATCTGAATTGAAGGTGCTTCTAAGGCTCTATAAACCATTGGAAGGACACTATTCTTTATTTCATCTGGTGGAGTCTTGGTTAGGAGCAAGTCCATTTTTTGCAAGAAAATCAACAAAATCTATAAAACAAAACAAAATGTTATGAATACCACAGATTTTAATTCTGCAACATTACACTTTCAATTTTAAGTTTATTATAGCAATATAGTTTTGAAAACATTAAAAAAAAGCTCTTATAACAGAGCCAATGGTATTTACACTCACCATGTTGCTAGCCTGAAGGCATGGAAGATAAAAAGACACTTAGACATGTTATAGCATTTTTGAAACAGCAAATAAAAATTAACACAAATATACTGACCTTTTAAAAAAAAATCACAAGGCTTGTGGATTTTTGTCTTACAATTCCAAAATAGTCCATTATTAAACTTTAGCTATAGAAACATACTCTTGACATACATACCATTATGGAAATCACTAGTTTCCAAAGAAACCTGGAGTCAAATTCTGCTCTCAGATGTGTATGTGCAATTCCCAATTACTTCAACTGGAGTTGTACATATGCGTCAGAAGGCAGAATTTGGACCTTACTGAAGGAGCACAGCATTACAGTCAGTCACAGTATTGGCACAAAATAGGTTTATTCCTAAAGTGAAACCACACTTGACATAAAAATGTGTAATTCCCCAAGCAAAATACGGTACTTCACCAAGGTAACATAATTTCTTCTTTTGAAAAGCAACACTAGAACTTGTGATAAAAACCCCAAAACCCAACAGCTTTTCAAGAAGGCAGAAAGGGTTGAGGAAGTGTCTGTTTGGACATTTGACATAGACCATCAGATTGCCAGACACACCGCCACCTAATCATCTGAAAGTTCTTGAGAGAAGGAACAAAGCCCCCCAATCTTTACCATAGATTCCTATGTTCTCTCTTTGGGCTTGTCAATACCAGCAAAAAAGGTGGTAGCAAATTTATCCAGTATTGTTTAGTCCTGCTCAGAACAGGTCTGATGGTAAATTACAGATCTGATTTTTGTTACTCTAGACTCACCATATCAATACAATATTACGCTTAACGAAAGGTCTATTGCCCCTTTAGAGAGGGAATGGCCTGTCATGCTAAAATTGCATTCCGGACCAGTCAAGGGCAGGTGTGCTACAGAGGCAGTGGGCTCAGTGCATTTCAGGTGACAAAATGCCTTGCTTCACTCAAGACTGATCTCTCTGGACAGCTACAGAGCAGAACTGAGGTTTGGAAGTTTGTGTTAGATTGGAACAAGGAAATTAATAGAAGATGGATTAGGATTTTGTCAGGAAAAACCTTGAAGGAAAAAAATGAGATTTACTTTTAAACAACATTAATCTACCTGGATTGGTTCTTGCTGTTTAAAAACAGGGCCAAGATCAGGCAGAATTAGCTTGATGTACTCTTCTTTGGTGCACTCCTCAGCAATCAGCAGAACATTAGGCAAAACAAAGGGTACCATATCAGGGTTCACAAACTCTGAGGTCAAGTAAGGCAAAATTCGCTGCACTATAACACGCTGAGAGAGAAAGACAAAGAGGTGTGGTTGCTTTGCATTGCAATAAAATACTATTTTCTAATTTTATTTCAGCAAAAATTTTTTTTGTAAAAGTCAGGTTTATACAATAGTAGACAAATACATCAGTTCTGAACCTTACTTTAAGAGTAAACTCGAGTTTTATATACTGCTGTGCTTTCTTTTCTGTTTGTATTTAAGACACAGTCTGTCCGAATGGACTCTCAATCATCTTAATTTAATGCCACTTAAAAGCTATTATAACTTAATGAGGCTGTATATAGGATTTAAAATCATGAATCCAAATTAAGGAAGTCACATACGATACTGTTTTTCTAAAGACTAGATAAAGAATTATTAGCATAAAATTCAGCTTTTGCAGGACTCCAAGGTTCACTAGCTTTGAAGCCTGTACTCACAATACAAAAGAAAAGTACTTCCTTCCTACAGCTGAACGCCACCTCCAACCTTTGGTTCTACTTCTGCTTGCAAAAATCCTGCAGACATATCTAGCCTGGACAAGCATATAATAAATGGCCACTGATAGTGATGATTCTAGAAAGCCTACTCATTGAGATGTATTTAACATTGATATACTACCACCAATAGAAATGGGGGGGAAATAAAAACTTAAGGCTTAATAGCTTCCCTGTGTGTTCCTGCCTTCTTTCATAACTCTTGGAAATTTTGTCCAACTCCAAAATGTCACAAAAATAATTAATCAATGGAGAAAATCGATAAGTATAAAAAAAAAAGACATTACTCAACATTAGATCTTCCTGCAGTAGGATTGTACTTGTATTTGCAAATTGTATTTGTAAATAGTTCAAAAAGAAAGTTTAATTAAAGATGAAGAAATTTAATCACACGGGTCACAAATGTTATTCTATTATGTGGTAAACAAGTATTTTTTCCTTCTTATTTTCTTTGGGACTACAAAAACTAAGATTAACAAAAAAGGGAAGGGGATGGGGCCAGTGTTATCATACCATCTGCCTGCCATACAGGAGAAGAAATTTGGACTGACAGTCTCTAGCTTTCCAGGCTGTCTGAGAGCACGAAAAGCACAATGGGCCAAGTCCTCTTGGGGAAGAAAGCTTTGCATCATTCAGAAATAGAGAAGCACTGACTAGCTCTAAAAAAAAAAAAGAGTTCAGTCGGTCCAACTGCACTGGAAGGATGGGGACTACTTCACAGAGCCTTGAAAGATGAGGATTGTAAAGCAATGGGAATGGGGAATATAGGGCAGAAGTGGGATGAACCCGGAGGAGGTAAGTGAACTCTTCAAGGAAAATTTCGCTACCATGAGAGTTCAAGGTTGCCATTTTTTCTTATCTCCAGGAGTATCAGCAACTGTAGGGTATTCCCACATAAGACAAGTTTATCATACCTCTTCTTCTTCCTTACTATGTTCTATCAATCTCACTGCAGTCCAGTATAGAATGAAGGTGCACAGACTCCAATACACTTCATTTAAAAATATTAAAAGATAAAGGAAAACAAACCTTAGGCAGTTTCGGTAGAACCTTTGGTAGCCCTTTAAAAAACTGTGATTTCTGAAGATTATCCCTTTGGAATAAAGAATCAAAATATTGGAGTGTCACTGCCCCAACATCATCAAAGAATGGTATCTAAAAATAAAGAATAAAAAAGTGTGATCTTGGAGAGAAACCACCACCAATGCTATTGTAAATGTAGCATATGTAAAATAATCATCTAATTTACTTTCTCAAATGCATTATAAAATCAACATAACTTTTATAGTTAAGTGGCTACATCTAATAAATAGAAAAGTACATTTTTACACAATAAGTAGTATTGTGACCGACAGGTAAACTTCATAATTAAAACAGTTAACTGCTTGAGCCTAGCTTTTTAAAGGAAACAGATAATATTTGAATGGCTGAATATTCAATTTGAATCAATTGAATAATTGATATTATTATATCAATAATAACAAATATTATCTGTTTCCCAGTAATTAGACAATACTACTACTGTCTAACTTGGTTTATTTTATATGGAAGAGAATTATTTTTCGCATTACAAAAGCTCTAAGAATGAATACAAGTTTTAATAAAAGAGCAAGCTTACCAAGAAGTACTGTATACTTATTACTTCTACATTATTAGGCTACTTCCTCAACTACCCAGCCTTTGGTTACCTCCCTGGGAATTTACAGCCTTGCTTCGATACATAAAAGTGAATGTGACAGTTATAAAACAAAAGGAAAAGTAGTACCTTTAAGGACAACTAACAGAAAATTAAACTAAACATTTTAAAATTTCAATTGAAAAGAGCAACAGCTAAGTTCATGTTATTAGCCCTGTTTCTCGCAGCTGCAGTATTTTCTAGGCACTCACCTTTGTCATTTGATCTGCATCTGGTCTGACTGCAGGAGCTACGTTTAATAGTAGTTTTACATGTTCACGTACTTCCTCTGGTATATTCTGAAGTGTAGTGGAGCTTAAGCGACTCAGCTGTACAAATAATTCAAGTACATGATTCATGAATACAGAAAATTCTGCATACTCATTTTAAGACAACTGATTTGATGGCTTTTTAGTTCTACTTTAATTAGGCAAATTTTATAAAATGTAATTTTTATAAATGCGAGAAACTTCAGCTGTGGTCATTCCTATCTCTTTTCTTACAGTGTCACAGCATGCTAGCATTGGTTTAAAACCTGAGTTTACTAAGGCCATGTCTACACATACAGTGCTGCAGCAGCACAGCTGTACTGATACAGCTGTGCCACGGCAGTGCATGTGGTGAAGATGCCCTATGCCGACGGGAGAGAGCTCTCCTGTCGGCATAATGAAACCATCTCTGTGAGCAGCAAAAGCTATGCTGTCGGGAGAAGCTCTCCCACTGATATAGCACTGTGCACACTAGCGCTTATGTCAGTGTAACATGTCACTCATTGGGGTGGAATTTCATACCCCTGAGCAATGTAAGTGGTAGTGTAGACATAGCTTAATTCTGAAGCACTACGGAGCTCAACTATATGGCTGCCTGGCTCTTTAATAGTGCATTGTAAGCTGTATGTCATGATAGAGCATTGAACGTGACTAAGGGCTTGTCTACACTGGCAATTTACAACTCTGCAACTTTCTCGTTCAGGGGTGTGAAAAAACACTCCCCTGAGCACAGCAACTTTCAGTGCTGTAAAGCGCCAGTGTAAATAGTGCACAAGCGCTGGGAGCTACGCCTCTTGTGGAGGTGGGGTTTTTAAAGCTCTCCCAGCGCTCTGCCGAGACTACACAAGCCACATTATAGTGCTGCTGCGGCAGTGCTTTAGTGTCGCCTGTGTAGACAAGCCCTAAGGAACATCAGTATAACTCAGCATCTCTTTTCTTCCTCCAGCAGACAGGAGGTGGAGAAAGAAAAGTTAATCTCTTTCTCGGAAGGTAAGTGAGAGAGGGCATCCTTCCAACTCAACTGTTGGGATGGGAAGGAGGGAGGAGTCACCCACAATTTCTCACCTGTGGGTGATTTCATCACCTTTTATTTAAACTCAGCAATTCCCACATGGCTAACACAGTTGTTCATTGTCCTGTGGTTGATACCCTGTTTGCTCTACTCACAGTCAGAGTGGCACATCATATGTCTATCCCATATTAGCAGCATACGGCGGGGACATAAGAAGCCCCAGGTAGAATGTTAGCACTAGTAGTTTATTCAGGCAATTTTAATTATGCATCTATTTTTATTCCAAGTATTTTGTAAAGACTGATTTAAAGAGGTAGCATGTATGATGTGACCTGTTATTGTAACTACATTTATATTGTAGCTCTCGATGTTGTGTACTACATTGAGATATCCTTTTCTTTTTTAAAATAGCAATTGCTTTTAAACATTGAGACATTTAAACAGTGAAACTCAAATTCAGAACATATTGCTAAGTATAGCAGATACCTGATCCAGCTGTCTACTGAAACTTTTATAAATATCCTTCTTGTTGATCTCAAAAATAGGTTTCCCTTTATTAAATACTGCATACGTGACAGCTCCTAAAGAGTACATGTCACTGGCAGTCTCGCAGCTCACTGAAAGGATGTATTCTGGTGCCAAATACTCAGGATTTGGAAGACACAAGGATGGCACGTTTGGGTCCCATTCTTTACATAGAAACTTCAGCTGTAAGAACAACAGTGAAAGAAAATATAGAGGTTTAAGATTTTAAATTGAAATTACTCAATAAGCAGCAAACAGTCAAATTCCTTCAGATTCACCATGAGTAAAATAACAGGGACAGAGTGAAGCAAAACTGACTAAGTGGCTATATAAGCTAAATGGGTATGCTTTGACTGTTGCAGATATCACACCAAGATGATTTAGAATTATAAAACTTGATGAACATTTCAAAGAATGCTTTACATATTTAGGCACAAATTATTCTTTGGAATAAAGAGCTACAGAAAATATGTTACCTGTTTTACTTTAGGAAATTAAATGTATTTTTGGATAAGAATCGTCAGTAATCCCAGGAACACTGCACTCTGTGGCGGGAGGGTAGCCCTGTCCATTGGGCTGTTGTTGGTTCATCTTGGTGCTAAGACTGGTTGGTGACCTGCTGCCTCAAAAAAGTTGCACTAGGGGAAAAGGTGGCCTCCTCCTGTACTGACCTACCAGTAGATGTATATGCTGTTCTCTGCACAGACAAACTCCACATACTGTTACTAATTCCCTGAACTATTTAGTCCCTGTTAATCCACTCTTAAGTTTCTTTTGAGCAACAACTATCGAGCATGTAGTAGTTCTGTAACAAATGTGCATGGGGCTCAAGGATGAAAACACACTCGTTTTCAAAGTACACGGAATTTTTCACTGACCACTATACTAGGACTAGAACCCAATCCCTAGTCTAAGGAGGCAGCTCAAACTCATTTTCAGTTGTGACCCAAGACAGAATTTGAACTCAGACCTCCAGAAATAAAGGGTTGATGACCTATTATGTCATATAGCCTCCCCACTACTACTAAAAATAAATAAATAAAAAAGAGGTGTAGAGAAATTAGTAGCACTAGATACAGCACTAAAATTAGTAGATCAGGCAGCCTGTTTCAGACACTATCTGCATTTAAAGTAAAAATCAGACAAATCAGACAAAAATAAAGCCTTATTACCTCTTGTTCAGATGGATTTGTTGACTGAATACAAAAATCAAATCCCATAATTTTCCATGCTCCACTTTTATTCAAAATTATATTTTCAGGAGTAAGGTTTCCATGGACCATTTTCACACTGCTGTGCAGAAAGGACAAACCTTCAGAGACCTGTTAACAAGGAAAGATTATTTCAAGTTTTTTGCAAATATTCTTTCAAGACACTTGCAAAATATTTACATCAATTATCACGTGTCATTTGTCACAGCCAAGTCTGACTTCCCATGCTCAACTGGCATATGTTAGTTAAGAAACAGTCAAGCCAATCTACCACAAGGGAAGAAAATATTTCAGACTAAAATCTTTGAAAAAATTAAACATGTATCAAGCAAACCAAATTCAGGTTGAGAACTTGCTCATGGAGTTACTAATGCCAAGTTAACTATCACAGGGCTTGAAAAACCCACTTGCCCAGGATGAGTAGAACGTTCACCAGATGAGTTGGCTGAATGGGGAGCCACTGGCTCCTTCTCTAGAAGAGAAGGAACAAAAAAGATGCAGAGCAGCGTATGTGCTTGTGCTCCTTTAGCAGACGGGAAGGTGGGAACAAAATTGCTTACCCATAGCTAGTTTTTAAGGAGAAGAGGGGACAGAGCAGTTTGCTTTGTTCTTTTCACAGACCTGTGTGGGGAGAGGGAGTGTGAAAGAGCAGAGTGGTTGGAGGCTGCTTTAAAAAAAACAAAACAAAAACAAAAAAACCTAACAAACAGAATGGGAGGATGAAGCAAGGAGTAGTGACCTCTGTGCCAGGGCTCATTTACGACGGGAGAGGGAGATAGCAATAGAGTGCTCACAGACAGAAGGGCTCCTGAGCATCTATAAAGGTAGTAGCACAGGGGTGGGCAAACTTTTTGGCCCGAGGGCCACATTGGCATTGCGAAACTGTATGGAGGGCCAGGTAGGGAAGGCTGTGCCTCCCTAAACAGCCTGGCCTCCACCACCTATCCACCCCCTCCCACTTCCTGCCCCTGACTGCCCCCCTCAGAACACCTGACCCATCCACTCCCCCTGCTCCTTGTCCCCTGACCACCCCCTCCTGGGACTCCCCTGCCCCTAACCACCCCGAGACCCCACCCCCACGCTCCCTGTCCCCTGACTGCCCTGACCCTTATCCACACCCCCACCCCCAGACAGGCCCCCCGGGACTCCCATGCCTATCCAACCCCCTGTTCCCCGACTGCCCCCCCCAACCTCCGCCCCATCCAACCGCCCCCACGCTCCCTGTCCCAACTGCCCTGACTCCTGTCCACACCTCTGCCCCCTGACAGCCCGCCCAGGACGCCCATGCCTATCCAATGCCCCCTGCTCCCTGACTGCCCCCGGAATCCCGTGCCCCTTATCCAACCCCTGTTACCATGCTGCTCAGAGCAGCAGAAGCTCGCAGCCCCACCACCTGGCCAGAGCCAGCCATGCCACCCCAGGCTGCCTGCAGGAGAGGTGGACCAGAACACTGATGGCACAACACTCAGAGGCTGCAGGGGAGGGAGGACAGCAGGGGAGGGGCCGGGGGCTAGCCTCCCCAGCCTGGAGCTCAGGGGCCAGGCAGGACGGTCCTGCGGGCCGGATGTGGCCCGCGGTCCGTAGTTTGCCCACCTCTGTAGTAGCAGGAGCAGCAACAGGTTGGGGGATAATCTATTCACGTAAAGACAGAGCACTGACTGAATTATGTGGGTGGCAGTGGTATGACTGGGGAAAGAAAAAGGCAAATTAAGTTTGCCAGCCATTTCAAATTTATTTTAAAAAGATAAGAGGCCACAAAGCTAAGACTCACAGGAACTGGCATCACTCTTCATTAAAAAGAAAGGCGGGGGGAGGGGAGGGACTAGAAGGAAAATGGTGAAATGTACAATTCTAAATTCTCTAGTGAGATTGGGCAGAAACAGTAGCAATCCAGAGCATTCCATCAAGCATTCATCCTTTCCGCCACTCTGTTTATAAAAGGGTCTTCAAAGCATTGCGGTCTCTCTCCTCATAATTATTTCATTTACTATATGCTCTTTTGAAGCTGGGACCTGCCATGCAGCAAAATATCCATGACTACTGTTTGCTCCATTTCTTTGATTCATCTCTTACCCTTCTCTCAAATATTAATGCAGATATGGCACGAAAAATTATTGTTTTATGATCACCATCGTTGGTCTTCAGATTACTTGTCAAAAGTTACGGCCCACGGGTGATTTTTTTTTTTATTTCAAAAGGGTAACTCCAGGCTGAAACCTTGTAGGACAGTATTTAACCTAAAATCAACTATTATAAAAATATACAATCCCCTGAAAAACTGTATGTAATGGAACTGACAGCAAATCCTTGAATACCTCAGTGATAAGCAGCACCACTATAATGAAGTCTGTCTGGAATTAACACAGGGTTCTGTGCCCTCACCTCACCTTTCTCCTCCAAGAGATGGATTTACACTAAACAGTTCTCTCAAGGAGAAGAAAATAGATCAAATTTGCCAAGGATGGCAAGAGGAAAAAACAGTATGTGGTTAAGGCATTGGACAGACCCAGATTCAGGCTATCTATGTTCTATTCTCAGCATCACCACAGACTTCCTGAGCAACCTGGAGCACGTTACTTAACTTCTTCATGCACCAGATCCCTATCTCTTACATAGGGAAAATAATTCCCTACTCAGAGGACTGTTGTAGGGATAGATTCATTTATGTATTTAAGGTGATCAGATACTATGGTGATGGCCATTATAGAAAAACCTATAAGTAAAATAAAAAAAATTAACACTAATACAACTGGGTTTAACACCATAGACTTAAATGGAGTTGAATGCACTTACATCAGCTGTGAAGTTTTTTAAAAATCTTATCAGTCCTGAATGCTGTGATAGAAAGGTCTTGTGCTTTTAGACAAATAATTCCAAAATTCCTAAGCAAACTGTTACACACATGCTTATCTTTACCCACAATTACTCACATAGGTAAACATGTGCATACCTGTTAGCAGGATCAGGGCTTAAGTTTGTAAGGCAATACTAGACATGCAAAAAAAATATAAAGATAAAACCATTAACATACCTGAAGCAAGCCATATTTGGTTTCCACATCATAAAGTTTGTATTCCTTAATATCAGATGGTAAAGGAGAGGGTAGATTGTCCCAGTTGCCAAGAACATTAGCTAAACTTGCAAAGACTGGTTCTGTACAAAATGCCAGGCAATCTCTAAAAAGGGAAGATGTACCCAATATATCCAGTAAATATATTTAATAAGCTCTTGGTCATGATTTTGAATGACAGAAAATAACTTTCACATGATATATCACCACAATAATCAATATTACTTAAACTATGCTGTATGTCAGCTTTTGAAGAATAGATCTCAAATATTTTAATTCTGTAACAAGATGTCTTGGAAGCACACTGGAAGTCAGAAGGTGGTATTGGTCAAAGTAAGACATTTACTACTCTGTATACAGTACTAAAAGTGTGCATAGTGTTTGGTAAAGAATATGAATATTTTCCCTGTACTGAGCCAACACAACAAGGGGAGTAAAGTGGGAATTCATGTACAAGTTGCAGGATCAGGCTTTTAGTTAGGACCAGGATTGATTAGATTCTGAGTAAAGCAGCCTTTGTGTAAACCAGTCAGCCATAAACCAGAACATTAGGGTCAAAGCCCATAAGACCAAAGTCAGCACCAAACTAGAGCCTTGTTCATAGTGGGAGGCAGAGAAAATAACTGAAAATAAAACATTCAGTAGAGCGAAGAGTATATGCTGACCAACAATTAATGAAGCAATTGTTGAATATTTAGTGGCACTACAAAGTATACAATTTGTTTATGGCAAAAGGTGCTTGAGACACTCATCAGAACGACTGCACAATAAACAGTGTAACTGTGTCTTCCTTACTCTCTCCCTTCATCCCTCACCATGTCCCCACCTCCTCTTTCCCTCTGTGGTTTCATTTCTCCTCTAACATTGTGTTGTAATGTTCACGTCCTATCCTCTCAATAAATGAGGTTGCCTCCCTGTGACTATGCTCAAAGTGGCTCTTCATTTCGCCTCTTCCCGGTCTCCTCTCCCTTAGTAGGATACAACTTAATGGACTGTACACATCACAAGCCAACGAAATTGCTCTCTAAAGTACAATAAGGCCAAAGAAACAAAACTGATGAAACATGAAAGATCCTTGCTCAACACCCTCAAAGACGAAGAGTCATAGCTTCAGTTCTCCCTACCACTGCCTTTGTGAAGAAGCAAGAATCCTAAAGCAGAATACAAGCGTCAGAAAACCCAACTGAAGATGCTCAACCTTGGTGTTAGTCAGGCTTCCAATTAAACCAATGTGTAGTGGCTCCTCCTGAACCTGCACTTTTTTTTTTTTTAAATATAACAAACAACTACCTCTACAGAAACTCAGTTTTGTACTGACCCACTAGGTAAGACCAGAAATGGGAATAACAAAAAGTCACTCAATCTTTTATTCCTATTCACCAACAAAAAGCAGATTTAAGTGCCTGGTGGTACTTAATACTGTTCCAAAACATCAACTTTAGCAAAACACAAACTTATATAAATCAGGAAATCCAGAGTTAAGGAACATGCCAATGTAACCTTAACTCTACTCTCATTGAGCGAAGACCTATAAGCCCATAGCACGCATTCTTTCATTGTACTGAACAAGAGCTATCTATACCTGCCTTACACTCAAACATCTAGCTTACTCCACAGAAAACACCATATCTGCTAAATTTTACAACCTTTACTCATATGCACAGGATGCCACCTAATACGATCGTTTCCTCTTACCCTTCACTGAAACCACAGACCACACTCATCTCCCACCTAACTGATGACAATTCCCATAGTCAGAAGACATCTGGGCCCTGCTACTGACACAACCTACACAATGCAGTGCTGAAATGAGGCATACCGGATCCCTCAGGGTACATAGGCACCTCTTTCCTTAGATCACAGTCAGGGGTCAGGCAAAGGGATTCACATACTTCCAGAAAGTCACAACTCCCACCCCAGATCTCCTATCATTATCACAGCTCTGCCAAGCTGCGCCAACATTTAATACACCTACACCTACATCTACCCCTACTCTTGTACTCCTAGGCCACCATTTCAAGTTCACCTTCCCCTTTCTGTCCCAGTAAGCCACTAGCACTTGGGAAACCATTAGCATGTAAGACGTTGCTCCCTGCTGTCTGGTGACCTCGGAGGGTGCATATGTATCACAGGCAGCAGCTTACTGGAGGGATGCATGCTTCCTTGAATCATGTACCCTGTGCTGTACACCAAACCAGGCCCCATACTGCCACTATGCGCCACCACCTAGCTGGACTCCCCATCTGCTTCAGCCAGGCTTCCTCAGCCATGCCTTTGACCCACCCAGTCTACTTCCCCTGCAAGTCAGCCTCCCCTCCCCTGCAAGATATGGTATATACCTAAACTTTGTATTTTCTGATTTTCAGAGTTTTAGATTTGTGTTACCTTAAGATCACAGCACAGAAACAGCAGAGAAGGATGTGGGGCTGACAGGTCTGCCTCCCCCCAACACCTTGGCACCCACCACACATATCACCCTTCCCAGTGTTCCATCCCTCATCTCCATCCTCTCCCCTGACCTGAACCTCCCAACCCCTCTTCCCTCACTTACCCCAATTTATCCCCTCCCGCCACAAACCCAAGCCCCTTTCCCCCATTCCTTCTCTTTTTCTCTGCCCCCAGCTCCACCTCTCAGCCAGCATTTGCATACACAATTATTTTCTTTTCAAAAATAGTCTGAGCACCTTCTGAATTTTCTCCTGTACTCAGACGACATTTCCCCAAAACAACAAAAGACCTCTTTGACAAAGGCAAATTGTAGCAACATGACTATTTAATTTCCAGATTTCCACCAAGGATGGGTTCCAGGTTAAAATGTCTAGGTGTTGCTCATATTCAATAGCCATAGCATGTTCCATTCAGCCATCCATATTATGTGAAAACTGGCTGACTAGTAACTAACTTGGGTACCATGCACATACACAAGATAATCAGTTTTGTGCATGAGTGTTAGGTTCAAGCCTGTAGAGATTAATTTTGTTAAACAACATTTTCAATACTGCTTCCCCAAAGGAGGCTATATCTCAGGAACGTTTTGGTGAAACGACCCCAAATTTATATCACTATCCCTACCCCAGCACCCCATGAGGCATACTAACTTTCAAGGGAAAGTGAGTAACTATGCAGATACAAGAGCACTTACAGGAATTGACCTCAAACCGTAAAGTTTTCTCAACCTTAACTATCCGGGAGCTGGCACCTGCCTATAATTTTAACTTTTTTAAAGCTTGGGCGAGGTCTCTTGCTGTAGTTCAGGCAAAGAGAGTGTAAAAGGCCTGGGGAACTGATGGTGGAAAAACACGGCTTCTACTTTGTAAAAATTCAGGAATAATGCTAAAACAAAATAAACCAAAACCAAGAAAAGCTCTTTGCTTCAGCAGTTAGGGAGGGATAGCTCAGTGGTTTGAGCATTGGTCTGCTAAACCCAGGGTTGAGAGTTCAATCCTTGAGGGGGCCACTTGGGGATCTGGGGCAAAATCAGTACTTGGTCCTGCTAGTGAAGGCAGAGGGCTGTACTCAATAACCTTTCAAGGTCCCTTCCAGTTCTAGGAGATGGGATATCTCCATAAATTATTATATTATTATTATTACCGTGACTTCAGCCCTCTTTCAAGTGAAGTATAACTGCGCAAAACAAGGTTTTGTTTTAATGAATATTTTAGCAGTTGAAGTCAGTCACATACTATACCTTCAACATCTCTGTGAATAATATCAGAAAAAGTGACCGTTTGGGCAACAGTGCAACTAGAACATGGTGACATATGACCTACTTTTATTTATTTTCTCTAATTGCCAAGTCCATATCTTTTGTTATTATTTCTGCACGTTTTTCCAAATGCTCCAGACCTCTATGTCCAGCAAAAAAATACTTACAATTTTACTAAAATTTACCTGGATTCCTCTAATGGATGTTGGACGGTAACTAGTCGAGGGTGTCGAAGCCTTGTTAGTTGTTGAACTCCTCGCTTTAAAGAATCAATAATCTGATCCTTTTCAAATTTCTGATATTTGTCTATTAACTTTTTATCAAAGACGAAAACAGCAACTTCCTAAAAATAAGCAACAAAACTCAGTCAGTATTACCTAAGCCACACAGTAAAGTTTATATAATATGATCCATCAAAGCAGAAAGTAGTTCATTATACATCCATAGCCAAATGCTATACTAACTTATTTCAGTTACAATCAACATGATTTTTTAAAATCTCAATTCAATAATATATTTTTCCTGAGCCAATAAACTACTGCTACATACTTTATAAAAAATAATGATTTGACTATTACCACCATGGAATAGGCGCCGACTCCGTGGGTGCTCTGGGGCTGGAGCACCCATGTGTGTGTGTGTGTGTGTGTGTGTGCGCGCGCGCTGAGCACCCACTGGTTGCCCGCCTAGCAGAACCTTCCACTCCGCCCAGCACCTCCTGCCCACCCGTGGCCCCACGGTGCAGCACCTTCCCCTCCCTCCCTGTGCCTCTTGCAGATCAGCTGTTTCATGGCATCAGGAGGCACTGGGGGAGAAGGGGGAAGGAGCGAGGGTGCAGCGCACTCGGGGGTGGAACTGGGCGGGAAGAAGCGTGGTGGGGGCAGGGCAGGGGTGGGGCATTGGCGGAAGGGGTAGAGTGGGGGCACAGCCTAGGCAGAGCCTGGGGGAGCACCGCCTGGCAGATTAGAAACTCGGTGCCTATGGTTAATGGTACCACGCTACTTATGCGATTACTAAGCAGCACATCTGAAGACAGCAGCTGGCCTGATTTTAAATAAATGGGAGTTTTGCATACTCAGCACCTCAAAATCAGCTCAGGTATTGGTAATTTAAATAGTTTGAGAATACACTTATTTTATTTGTTGGAATGATGCTTTGTTATGATTGACATTTGTATTTTTTCTTGAGCATATTGTAGAGAATGGAAAGAATAAATTCTTTTCCTAAACAATATTTTCCTCAGTTTTTTTTTTTTAACTCAACTCTTAAAAAATTACTCAAGAGAAAATGCAAGTTCTACTGAATTCAGAATGTTTTGCTGTCTCTTAAAAATTAATTTGGGGGAGGACTACATAATTTGGTAGGTCATATTCAACAAAAAATTAAGGAGTCTTCCAGCTGTGATGTATTCAGCAATTAAGAGGTGAGGGGGGTAATTAACCCTGAGCCTGTGCTTCCTGACTCCCAATATCCAAAAAGGTGGTCAGTTAATTAATTTTTATTTTATATATGTCTGCTCCTTGTACAGAAGGAAATATGTTCATAAAATATAAACTAATATAAAGCTAGACTTTATATAAATTTATCAATATTAATTTGTATCCAAAAATGCTATGTTTCAGCCCAAAGACAAGACAAGGAGGCAACTGTTGGTGTAAATTTGGGCACAAGTGCTATTTTAATGAATATGCATATTCAGCATGTCAGCCTGCTATGCAGCAGGTCACACATGCAAACAGCACAATGCTAATAATTTTCACCTATATGTATATATATTTGTATATAGACAAAGCAAAAGCAGCAAAATGACCTTTGCAGTAAGTTATGTGAATAAATATTACATTTTATTTGTCCACATGGAAGTTATTTATAATGGATGAAATCCACCCCAGGTCAGAGGGCTCAAAAAAACCAAACCAAAAACAGTTTATGCTTAATTATATACTGCAGTAAAGACTTGTGATGTTGGCCCCCCCGCCCCAAAAGGCTCAACTTCACTCCAAGGAACTGCAGTGGGCACACAACTAACCTGAGTTTTAGTGATATTACAGTTCAAGCAATATGCCCTATACTTAAAATGGGAAATACTACTAGAATTGCTAATATCTCTAAAACAAGCATGAGCATTTTAAGTGCATCCATTGTTCAGATTATTTCAAGCAATCCATTGGACTAAAGAGCACACAGTGTTGGTTATTTAAGATGAGATAGACTTTTCCATCTTCCTCTTCCATCCAGCAGAATTCTTTGAGATATCTAGTAAATTCATCTCAACATTCTGCCATTCTGAGTGCCTGGAAACTGTTACCATTAAACAAGAAAACGCACTCTATATAGGAGTTCTTTCTACAGAAAATTGAAACATAGTTGTTTGGTCCCATAACAGTTTCTTCTCTTCATGAAAAGTTCTTATTAAAAAAATTAGTCAAGACAAAAATAGTGCTATATTTATTTACAAAACTGAGTGTAACATCTTGCAAAGGATTACATAGGGGTTTAACATTATGGACTACTTGGAGTCCAACTGAAACCATGAAGTCTTAGTTCTTTTAATACTAAAAGAAATTCAAGAATATCCTTGTCACCTGCAAATCTTTGTATGCTAGCCACTTCTCATCTGCTTCAATATAAATTGTTTTTCTGACTTAATATCCTTTCAGTTTACTTCCACTCAATCATGAATGGTATCCCTCATTAGAAAACAGCCCTCAGTGCCACAAATGGCTCAGGATTTAAAGCATTTAAAGTAATTCCCACACCATTTGCCGCCTTCAATTTTTACATAGCAGAAGCCTTATCTAGCATATTAAATCAATACTATTAAATATTGATGCTATGGTACCAGTCAGATTTGCCTAAAACTTCTTTTTAGAAGTTATTTTCTGTTTGCACTAGGATTTCTCATACCTGTAATTCCCTATAAATGGAGATATCCCATCTCCTAGAACTGGAAGGGACCTTGAAAGGTCATCAAGTCAGCCTCCTGCCTTCACTAGCAGGACCAAGTACTGATTTTTGCCCCAGATCCCTAAGTGGCCCCCTCAAGGACTGAACTCACAACCCTGGGTTTAACATGCCAATGCTCAAACCACTGAGCTATCCCTCCCCTGCAACACATACAAGGTCCATCTACAGTAAGGACAGCAGAAACTGCAGTGTACATACAGCTTACAAGGTTCTAATCACTGTCAGAAAGAGCAGTAAACACACCCAAGCTCTGCCTAAACTGCAGATACCACCAGAAGAGTTTGCACACACCTGCTAAGAATTACAGATCTGTAGAAAATACCTTAGTTACTTTCTGACGGTCTCATCTTTTTACCTCATAAAGCAAAGCAGAAAACAACTGGGTTTTTTTCTGGAATAAAGTTAAATAGCTTAGTGTCATCCAGAATGAAGACCAAAGACACCTGAGTTTCTCATAGCTGATCAAAGCAATTAACTCCTTCACAAAAGCGATACAAGACATTCCTCTAAATCAGGGGTTCCCAAACTGCGGCATGCACATGTCTGGAGGTACTTGAGACATCTCCCCGGGGGGGAGGGGAGGGTGTGTTACACAGGAAAAAATGTGTAATGGTGGATTTTATTTTATTTATTACATTTTTATAATAGGCTACTCAGACGAAGTTTTAAACTCTGTGGGAATGTTATATAAAATACAGTAGTTATTTTACTTCAAGATGTATCAATGAGAACACAGATACACAGAGACGCTGACTTATAGAGCCCCCTCACTTCCAATCATCACACAGCACAGGTTCAGTTTACCCAGCAACTGTCCAGTCTAATTGAGCTCAGAACTTAGGGTTTTTTTTTTTCAGTTGTATATGTCACACTATAACTATCTGTATGTAAAAATAAAATATGGACAGGTTGTATTAAGAAGAACACAATGTATAAGTGATGAGAAGGGCAGGGGTATGTGGGCAGCTGGTAGATCTGGAATTATAATAGCAAGTTATTCATATAGTCCTTTTTGTGGACTCAAAATGAAAAGTTAAAAATCAACAGGTGCCTATCATCTTATATATTTGTAAAGTGCCTAACTTAAAGAATTATATCCTATATACATCAGGGACAATTTCATCCACTACCAACATGCAATAACCATTGGAAAGGCACCATGATTGCTATACAATAGTTTAGGGATAGGAAGTGAATGGTATATTTTATGCAGTTATACAATTAAACAAACATATAGGTAAGCAAAATATAACAGACTTCACTGAAATTTGGTCAGACACTGGGATAACATCAATTAATCACAAAAGAAATTATAAACTGAATTTTATTTAATGGTCAGTCTAGTCCCTAAATAAAAATACAATTCTTTGATATTACTTTCTCTTCCTGTTATAAGAATTTCTGCATTGAGCAAAGGTGAATGGAAGACTTCAATTGGTTATTAAAAATTAAATGAGAAAATATAAGCAACAGGAAATTCAAGTTATGTCAAGTATATGTCTAAATAATAGACACCATGAACAGAGATGATGAATTCCTTAAAAGAAGACTCCTCTCTCTAATATAAATTCACAAAAACTTCAGTCATTATGGCAGAGTTAAAAACCAGTGCCAATCTTCTTTCCAACCAGCAACAAATGAGAGGCCAGAGTGGGGAAAACAAATGGCTTCAGAAGTTTCCAAGGAGTTCAGATACTTAAATGATGGGCCTGGAATAAGTAACTAAGATGTTTATCTAATCTAGAATGCAAGCCATTAGAGAGAATGGTAATCAGTTTAGGTGCTTGGGAAAGGATATTTAAAGAAAGGAGGGAAAAAACAAACAAACAAACAAACAAAAAACCCAACAAAGGGGATGATAATCCAGGAAGATGACCAGCTTTTACCAGAGAGCCTTCAGAGAAAAAGAATTAAAGGCATTAAAGAATTTACTGTCAAGCAAAACTGGCAATCTGTCTTTTATTCTTATAACCATATTAGGAAAAGTAATAAAGCAGCCTACAGGCTAGAAGTGATGCAGCAAAGGCAAAAACAACTTACAATAGAAGATGGATACGTTCTAAGTCCCCACAGAAAGACTCTAATGTAGTTGCCAAATATTTTATAAGGGTCATTTTAAGTTAAATCTCCCAGGGTAGTTGCATGATGATTTAATTTTTAAGAGAAGCAGTATACAAGCAGTAAATGGAAAGAAACCCAGTCCAACACATTAAAATAATAATTTCTAAGATTTTTTTTTGGCTGCTGTATAACTGCTTCATAAAAATTCAGCTTCTATGCCAGATACTCTTCTTCTGGAAGATTTCACTGAAATTTGACAAGTAATTGTCTTGAAAATTGTTCAAGGTATTTGTTGAGGACTTCACTTTAACAAAC